CGCCGGGGCCACCCGTACGGCGGTGGCCGCCGCCGTTGTCGCGGCCGCCGTCATCGGTGTGTGCGGCACGTCGTCGCCGGACGCGGTCGCTTCCCGTTGCACCGAGGTAGACCGCGCGGTTGCCGTGGTCGACGTGGAGACGGACACATCATCGCGAGCGGCGGCGATCGATCCTTCTTCTCCCGTTTCCGCCCCCGCCCCTGTCTCCGCCAGCTTCTCCCCAGACGAACCATCTCCTCCTCCGTCGTCCAGTTCTGGCCCAGTAACATCCTGTCGGTTGTCGGCGCACCCCTCCCCGTCGCCTCCTTCATCATCTCCACCACCACCACCACCCACTTCGTCTCGACAGCCTTCCTCCTGTCCGACAGACCCCGTCACATCCACGGCCGTGTCGCCGCCCTCTTCCCAGCTGCCGCTGTAGGAAACCACTTCGTCGTAAGTCGGCAGCGAGCTCGACTTCTTCAACTGCGGGTGATCCTTGTCCGACGATGCCTCGACCGGGGAATCCGTGTCCGCTTGCCGAGATTCGGCGACCGATGCATCATCCGCCGGGGCCCCCTCGTCAAGTATGCCGGGGTTCTTCAAAAATCGGAGGGATCGGGGCGGAGGAGGATGACGGCACAAAGGACATGTCAGGCGGGTACGATCAAATAGATGCGAGGTGGGTACGATCTACATAAGTTGGCCACGAAGAGTTACGATAGCATCCAGACGCTCGATGGAAGCAGCAGCGAGCGTACGGCGGCCAGAGACGACGAGAAAAAAACGCGCCAGCGCTTCGGCAGAGCGGGGGGGTGCGCACGCCGCAAATGTTTCAACGAACACGCAACAAAATCAACGAAACAACAGAGAAAAACAATTCGAATGGATGATGGTTTCCGGAACATTTGTTTTTGGGTGTCTTGACGCCTTGTTGACTTCCCGGGAATAGTCCGGCTTTCGTTCAGCGGAGGGGGGGGGCGTGGAGTCTGCAGAGGACCCACACCTTTCAAAAATAGAGGCGCATAGCTCAGCAGTAACCGGCTCGACGTGATCAAATATTATCCCCTATTTCGGCCGAATCGCACACGCCCTACTCAAGAGGATTTTGCCTGCGAATCTTAAATAAATATTCTGCTTCACGCGCACCGCAAGGTTCTCAAGAGGGGTCTTGTACACTCTCCGTCCTTCTGCTGTTTTCTTCGTGTGGTCCAACAACTGGTCCTTCAGGCCGTATACCAACAACATCGCACCGAACCATCTCAGGCGCAACCTACCGACCATCCAACCTAGAAAAAAAAAAACTACCAAGGAAGACCGACCCCGCCTTTCCCGTACCACGCCTCAACCGGACGGCGTCGCCAAGCTCACCTCATTCCCCAAAGGTGTGTCCACGACGCCCCCCGAGGCAAAGGGTACCCCCGCCACGTCCTCGGCCGCCGTGCCCCCCTCCTCCATTTTCTCCGTGCCGGAGACGGGGCCCTCACCATTTACCGCCGTCGACGGTGTCTCTTCCTCCTGGGCACCGTCCCGACAAAGCAGCCGCCGGTCGGGGATGGCCTCGGCCCCGCCCGAGCGTGCCTCGAGGACGGGGTCGGTCGATGCCGCCTCCGCCTCCGCCGCCGCGGCCGCGGGCTTCTTCTCGACGGCAGGGGTTTCTTCGCCGGCCTTTGACTCCTCCGAGGCAGTCACGTCGTTGTCCTCCTCCGCGAAGTTGTCGAGAGCGGAAACGCCGTCGATTGCACCCACCGCCGCCGCCGCCAGCTTCACTTTCTCGTCGGCGTACAGTATTGACAGTCCCGCGAGGGTCTCCTCGCCGTCTGGGGTAGTCGGCGGAAGGTCTACCGGTAGGCCTTGCCCCGCCGGTTCTTCTGCCTCTTCCTCCGCAGCGGCGGCGCCTCCCATACGAGACAGGACTGACAGTCCCGCGAGAGGCCTCTCGCCGTCTGGGCTGGGCAGCGCAACTCCCACCGCCGCTGCGGACATCAACCCCGTCGGCTCATCCCCTTCCTCCAGATCGTCGACTCTTGCGAGAACCGCTCTAGTCACCTCATCAAACTCGTTGGCGGGATCTTCATACGCGGACGTCGCTTCAGACACCTCCGAATCTGAACGGAGATAGGAGGCCTTGGGATTGTTTGCGGGCGCCCTGCGGTGGGCCGCCGACGAAAACGAGCCGCCGGCAAGTTGCGGCGGTGACCCGTCCGCCGCATGCGCACCCAGGGCCGGAGCAGTTGCTTCACAGGCGGAACCTTCGAGCACGATCGGCAATGCCCCCGGCCCTGCTGGTGCCAGCGGCAGACCCGGCGGATAGCCGTCTTCGAGCAACGACGCCATCGCAGCAGACGCCTCATCCGCCGCCGCCGGCGTATTCGCCCCGGCAGACTCCGAAACAGGCGCGTCGTCCGTCACCGACGCGCCAACGTTCTTCGGCTCGCTCATCAAACCCGACTCCGCAGCAAGAGGCACGGCCTGTTGGGAATCCTCCGAGGTCGCCGCTTGAGGAACGGTAGGCTGTTCCGCCGCAGAAGCGGTCACCTCTTGAGGAACGGTGGGCTGTTCCGCCTCAGCCGCAGACGACGTTGCCACGATCCGGCGCGACCACCGCTCCACTACGCTGTTGGCGTTATCCTCACCCAGTGATTCCGTCGCCGCCGGGGCCCCCGCAGCGGGCCGCACCCCCTCTTGTAACCCGGGCAGCGGCCTCGTCTTCGCAGAGTTCTGCATGTCAAAGTCCGACGCGGCGGTAGCATCGCCATCGTCGGCAAGAGCAGAAGTATCAACAACTGCTGTTACCGCAGCAGCAGCAGCAGCAGGAGGATCGGGGACAGAATCGTCGACAAAAGCGGAAACATCAATAACTGCTCTCACCGCAGCGGCAGCAGCGGCGGTGACAGAATGGGACGGGCTTGACCCCGCGGAAGCAGTGTCCGTCGCCGCAAGATCTCCAGAGGTACCCGCTGCTGGTGCTCCTGCGGACACGTCCAGTCCATCCATTTTACCGGGCGCGCCGTTTTCCCCCCACGGTCCCCCCTCCGCCGCCGCCGCCGCCGCCGCCGCCGCCGCCTCCGCAGACACTGACGCCTCGGCCGCAGCCCCCGAGACCGCTCTCGCGCCGCCGGCAGGAGGCGATTTCTTGGAAGACCGCGCCACGAACGCCGACACCATCGCATCCACCGAGACGGGACTCGCCGACTGCTCTGTGGCTGCATCCTGCTGCTGCTGCTGCTGCTGCAGCGACGAGCTCGCCATTGACGCCGCAAAATGGGTTGCCCCCTGGGTAGGATCCGACGGCGGAGCACGGGTCAGGCTGCTGCTGCGAGGACGTTCCTGCCGCCGCTCCCCGGGCAACAACCCATCCGCCGAGCCGCCACCGCTGCCGCCGCCGCCGTCGCCGGTCGCCACCGCCACCGTGGCTGCTGCTGCCGCAGGAGGCTCCGGCTCGGGTTCGGGCGTCACCGACTGGGCCATTTTCTTCTTCTCCCGTTGGGTGGACGCCAGGAAACGGCTCAGGGCCGAGGGTTGCTGCAGTGCGGCCTCCTCCTTGTTCGCTACCGCCACCGCTTCGGGCATAGCCGCCGCCTGGCCATCGGCGGTGCCTGCATTGAGAGATTTTTCATCCGCTCTTGGCTGCTGCGACGGCGGCGGCGTGGAGACCGCCCCGGAAGAAAAAGAAGCGCTTGTGGACGCCGCCGCCGCCGCCGCCGCCGCCGTCGACGTGCTTGCAGCGGGAACCACCAAGTCGAACGACGCGCAGCGATTAATCGCCGGCGGTACAGCCGACACCCCGCCGGAGGCACCCGCCCTCGGCGTTTTTGCCGCCCCCGGGGCCAACACCGAGTCCAACGACGTGCTGTGCTCGATCGGCGGCGGCAGCGGGACCGGGACGGGAGCCGGGTCAGGAGGCGGAGACGAAGACGTCGACGAAGTCGGACCGAAGACGGACGACAACGAACGCCGGATCTTGGACCGTATAGACCCGCCACGCTTCCCAATCCCGCTTCGCGAACCCTGTTTCACCAAATTAGACGCCGCAGCGGAGGTGGAGGAGGAGGAGGAGGAGGAGGGACCCTTCCCAACAGCTTCTTCGGGAACGGTGGCGGCAGCGGCGATCTCGGCCGCCGCGCCGCGGGTGCCGTTCGTCACCGGCCCCTTCGACGGAACGGCCGACTGCGATCGCCTGAGCATCTTGCGCCTCGCGACCGCCCCCGATCCCGTCGCCGTCGCCGCCGCCGCCGCCGCCGCTGCGCTCTCCGCGGTGCCCGCGAACACACTCCCGGCAACAACTGGCCCGCGCCCACATTCGTCGCCGGCTCCGCCGCCGGCCGCGACCCCGCTCTCTCCCCCCGGCGGCTCCGGGCGCCCCAGGCTGCTGCCTACCGCGGGGTAGGAGCTGTCGCGGGGGGGCGTCATCCACTCGTTGTCCTGGCGAGGACCCAGCGTGACGTCATCACGACGGTAATCGACCGAGGCGGGCCGCTGCATGGCCGGTCCTCCTCCTCCCCCACCTCCTCCTCCTCCTCCTGTCCCACCACCCCGACCCCGCTGGGACGAGGGCCCCGCCTGCTTCTCCTGCGCCGGCGGCTTGCCGCCGCCACCACCGCGGCCGGTCTCCTCCATCGACGCCCGGCGCCTCAACAGGCGGGCGAAGTTTCTCCCGCCACCTTGGTTCGCCGAAGAAGACGAACTCGACGTTCGCGCCGCCGCCGCCGCCTCCTCCTCCCCCCCCGGCGCTTTCGAAGCCACGGCGGGGCCGCCTGTCTGGCCGCCGAGGCTCCTGTTCCCGCTGCCAGACCTAGACCGAGGAATGCCGCGGCCATCATGCTTGTCCTCTTCCCCCTGCGCGGCGGCGGTGGCAGCGGGGGGGGGTTCCACAGCGGAGGAGGCATCACCGGTGGCCGCCAGCGCAAGCGCGGCGCTGTTCTGCGCCGCCAGCGCGAACGCCGCCTTTCGCTCCGCCTCCAGCGCGGCGATCTTCGCCTCCTGCACCGCCATCCTGGCGAGATGTGTTTGCTCCTCGAGGTCGACGCAGGTGTTCAGCCGGGCGGAGGTCCAAGGATGGCCCATGACTGCCGGTACCGAGAGGCGCTTGGACGGGTCCTTGCGGAGCATTCCCCGCAGCAAGTCCTACAGATGAGCGGACGACGGGTCGTACGGGAACGGGAGCGGGGGCGCACTCTTGTTGTTTTGCATGCCATAGCGGTTACACCGTTGACCACGCGTCCTCGAGAGGGGGCGGGGGAGGAGACAAATCGATGGGTTGCTTTTCAATTAGCCACTTGCTGCTTGCTTTCCACAGTACACCGGCACCACAACTCGAGGAATTAGGCTAAGGATGCAAAATGTGTTTGGGAATTTGATCAGATCGGAATATCGTGGCAACACAATAGGGCAAAAGGGTCACAACGAATGAGCCATAAAAACGAGCAAGAAAAAGGACAGCAAACACAACGACAACAACACTTCTTTGCAGGAGTCTACCCTCAACTCTCTTTAAAAAAAAAAAGCGGGCCAACTCAACAAAACGATGCAATGTGATCGGCCGCTCCTTCCTCACCGTGAGCAACGGAGGCAGGCCCTCCGGATACGTAGGCTCCATCGTCTGGATGATGCCAAGCGTCGCTTCCGAACCTTTAGCCCGGAACGGCAATCTGCCGGTCACCAGCGCAAAGAGGCACAAGCCCGCGCACCATGTGTCCACGCCCCGCGCATCGTACCTGTGAGGATGTGGAGGAGACGGTGGTGGGTTAGGCTTAGGGACGGGGTTAGGGTTTTAGAGGCCTGTTCTAAGGAAGCAAACAATCTGGACAAATGTACAGAAGTGGCTAAGTTGGAATAGGGTTGGGCTAGGGTCTGCGTGCCCCCTCCCCGGTCTTTTTTCGTAATAAACTTGTTTTTTTGCGTAGGCAGCCCCGTTTTCTTGGTCTCATGGCCCCTGTTTTCTGGTCTCCAAGCCAACATGCTTCGGTCTATGGTTGGTTGGTTGACGCACCAGCAGGGCGGGTTCACACAGGCATTCCTCCCACGCGGTGCTTGCCTTGAACGTGTACCGCGAGAAGGGGTTCAGCAATCCCTCCCTCCCTCCCTTTCGTGTGTACTCACGACGATTTACGCGCTTATTTTCACTTCAAAAGTGCGACAAACTATTTCACGCCAGAGAGTTTCGTATTCAATTCACTTCCAAATTCAATTCACTTCCAAATTCAAAAATTGAGAAAAAAATAGACACAATTACTCCAGAGAAATTCGAACCAACAACCCAGAACGACAAGTACGCAAACTCTACATACGCGCATTACACTCCTCGACGCAACACAGACAGCCCGTACCGGTGATCTTCGGTGGCGGCGATAACCTCCGGGGCAGCGTAGGCGGGGGTGCGGCCGGCCGACTGCTGCCGCCGGTGGCTCTTCCTCGCCCTCCATGACTTGCGCCCTTCCTGGAACGAACCACCCTCCCACTCGTCGAGGTGCGTCGCAAGCTCGAAGTCCGTCAACTGTACATAGCCGGTTTGGTGCAAAACAAAAAAATGGGGGTTGGTTTCTGTTGTTCATTTTTTGGCGGGGGCGGAACGACACAACAGGGTATTAATACCCTCGTCGAAAAGCGACTCAGCTGGGTATGTACTACTCGGCAGCGTGGAGTGAGCCTTCCTTTTTTTTTGTTTGTTGGGTGTCACAGCGGTGACGGCCGTGTTTGCGTGGTTGATGTTGCTGTCGGTGGGATCGGTACCGCCTCTTGTTGTCGTTGCTCTTGTTGGCGATGACGGAAGCGGTTGGCACAAAGCATAGGCCGGGTCGAAGTCGGGGAAAACTCCCTGTCACCACCCATGCAACCACACGACGTGTGTACCAGTCACAATGGCAGCCACACGAGGGGATCTCTATCCGTGAAGAAGAACCGTGCCAGCGGAATCGGGAGACAGGCGGCCAGCCTTTCAAGGCGGCAAGTGCACGCCTCCCGAGGAGCTGGTGGTTCTACGTGAGACACGCAAAAAAAAACATCAAAAACAAAATCGGGGTCACCTTAATGCGCTCCCCGTCCTCGCTGAGCAGCACGTTCTCCAGCTTGATGTTGCGATGCGCCACGCCAATCGAAATGCAGGTACCTCACTGCCATCATAAGCTATCATGCACGTGAAAAACGTGGGGGGGGGGGGGCAATGAGATGGTTTCGCCTGCCGTTGTGGTATTTCGACGGTCAGCCGCACGTCCCCTCTTGGACACGAGGCGTTCCAGGGTGCAGTTTACCGTTGGAACTCTCCCGCCCTCGGGGTTGCTGCCGAAAACGTGGGAACGTGAAACGGGGGGTCTATTCTTCCTTTGTTGTGTTGTCGATCGTTCTGCGAGCTCGTTGCCTCAGTCCCACACAAAAATCAGGACTGCTGTTTTTTGTCGTAAACCTTAATAACAACGCAACCTCCGATCAACGTGCCGAGGCAGGCGTCATGTGTAAACGTGCCCCAAAGAGGCACGCATGATGTGCGTACGTGCGCACCTATCACGTCCAAGCGTATGTGGCAAAACGTAAAAAACCGTGACCTCCCCCCCGCCGGCGTGTCCTAGACAACACTACGACCTGCGTGCCTGATGCAAATAAATGTAGGGAAATGGACAAAAGTGGGTATACCCACGCCATTCTCGGACAAAAGTGGACGCTCGAAAATCCGGCGCGCGCGCCCTCCATAGGCGACCCCCAAACGACTCAAAACCCCATTCTGACACCTGGGCGACACAGCCAGGGACCATACACAGCACGGGCATCGATCTTTTCCCACCTTCAGGCACACCTTTGGCCCTAATACCGCCGAGGCGCGCAAGGCCTCACCAGAGTGCCCACTTCTGTCCGACATTGCGGTGGGTATACCCAGCGGCGTCAAAGATTTTTTTCATGTTCCCACTTGTGTCTATATTGTTGACCCAATTTAGTCCAAATTGTACCCACTTTTGTCCACTTACGGACAGCGGGAATCGAGCGGAAATTGACCTCCACGTCACCGCACGGCAGAACATCGACTGGCCTCGGAACGTCTCAGAATCTCCCAACACCGAATCCATGGCATCTTTCCTATCCATCGCTGCCGACTGCGGACCGACCGCGGAGGAACATGTCAGAAACATGCCAGACCCCTTCGGTACCGGCACGGGAAGATACCCGCGGCAAGCCCGGCAAGCAGCGCACTAACGGCATGCCACAAATAAATGCGTGACACACAACGGACAACAAAACCAACGGGCGCGCATGCAGAACAAAAAGACGCGCATACAGCAACAGCATAGATACACACACGCGCCTCACACACAAAAAAACACCGACCACCACTACGAGTGCACACCGACTCGTGAGGGCAGCAGCAGCAGGTCGAGGCAGTTTACCACCCAACTACTACGTGATGTTAAAGGTATTCATATGCACTACATGTATGTATATACATAGGAAGTGCAAATCCGACCCGATATCCCGCGGTCGGTCCGCAGTCAGTAGCGATGGATAGGAAGATGCCATGGATTCGGTGATGGGAGATTCTGAGACGTTCCGAGGCCAGTCGATGTTCTGCCGTGCGGTGACGTGGAGGTCAATTTCCGCTCGATTTCCGCTGTCCGTAAGTGGACAAAAGTGGGTACAATTTGGACTAAATTGGGTCAATAATATAGACACAAGTGGGTACATGAAAAAAATCTTTGACGCCGCTGGGTATACCCACCGCAATGTCGGACAGAAGTGGGCACTCTGGTGAGGCCTTGCGCGCCTCGGCGGTATTAGGGCCAAAGGTGTGCCTGAAGGTGGGAAAAAATCGATGCCCGTGCTGTGTATGGTCCCTGGCTGTGTCGCCCAGGTGTCAGAATGGGGTTTTGAGTCGTTTGGGGGTCGCCTATGGAGGGCGCGCGCGCCGGATTTTCGAGTGTCCACTTTTGTCCGAGAATGGCGTGGGTATACCCACTTTTGTCCATTTCCCATAAATGTAGGTTGCTGACCAAGCACCGCGACCAGCAATGGTGCATCAATCTTGAAGACTGCGAGTCCAACACGCCACTTAAGCCCCCCCTTCTTGCCAGGCGTATCGCCCCCCCCTCGGTCTTTCATGCACGTTATTTAGTGCTAGGGCTACTTGCAAGGGTGGGGGCATGCTTGTACTAGGCCGTGAGCAACATATACCCCTTTCCGCCCGGAAGTTACCGCCGCCGCTGCACCCCCCCCTACCCCCCCTGCTCCACCGCGAGGAGAAACAAATGCTGCGCAAAAAAATGAACTGAAACGCCCTATTACCTGCTGGAAGATATTCCTCGACCGCTCCTCGCTTAGATAACCCTCCCGTCTCAGTTCCGTACGCAACTCCCGGCCCTCTATCGCTTCCATCGCCATGAATACGTGCGTCTCCGAGTTAAACACCTCGACGAGTTTCACGACACACGGGTGATCCAATTCTGCGGCGTGGCGGCGGGGGGGGAGGATCGTTGGAGGCCTTGGAAACCATCGAAAGGAACGGCCAGATTGGGGGTTGGAATGGCAGCGAGGCGAATTTATTCGCGCCGCTGTTTCGTGCATGGTATGTACTGGAAGAGACGAACCTATTCGAGCCGCATTTTCGTGCATGATATGTACTGGAAAGCTCATGATCGTGAAAACAATCGAGGGGAGGGGGCTGCCGAAACATTGTCGCCAAACAAAAAGTAAGGCATGCATGCATACCGCAAAGGAATTCTGCTGCGTGGAGCCGGATCGGAGCTCTCTTCAGCTGGGTAGGGCGTAAGGAATCAGTTTGGGAGGCAAGGCCGTATTGTGCTAGAGTCTGCGAGCAGAAACCGCGGTAACATACAAACGGTGTTGTCGAGGGAAACAAAAAAAGGCTACCGTACCTTTCATGATGCCGATCTCTCTCCTCACGAGACTGCTCATGTCGTTCTTCCAGATCCATTCCTTCAGCATGATCTTCAGGGCAACCAGCTCGTCGTTTGCCGTGTCCGTCGCCAGTCTCACCTGAAGAAAAAAAGGCAGAAATGGGCACAGCAGTAAATTGCCGATACTCATTTACTAAGCACCCTTGATTTCGACAAGCAGGGGCGGCGGCGGCGGCGACACGAATATCACCGGAAATCTATCGCGAGAGCTGAATTTGCAAATACCCCAGCGTTGCAAAGCCTCGCACAGCGTGCGCTGTGGAGGAAGGCGAAGGATTTCTGACACAGCCTGCTGCTACACCTCCCCCCCCCCGCCCAAGCGATATTTTTCGTGCCCTCGACCCCGATAGGTTTCACAGTAGGGGACCACGCATAAGGCGGTGGTGGGGGCAGCTGAGAATGACCGCCTTATATTATATGGGGCAGCCGCCTTGTTCGATGTGTATGCATACAACAACTTGAAAATTTCGTCTGTGCCAGACAATTCCACCAGTCTTATCTCTAGGACGAGCGCCGTATTCAGACCGCCAAACACACCTCTACATAGGAACTAATACACAAGGGCCCCGTATGGGATAAAATAAGAAAGTAAGCAACCTCCCTCAAGAATCGCACAATTACCTCCTGCGTGACCCCCAATCAAAGAGTACCAAGTAGGACTTCTCCCACCCCCCGTGGGTTTTCGTCGCTTGGCAACGACGTTGTAAAACACGTCAATCGCTTCCTGAGGTCGACAACCAGGTTTCCGTTTTTTTCTGTTTCTTGTTGGCGGTAACCATGATGGTGGTTTGAGTAGAGATCATGTTTTGTGCGGGGTCGAGGACCCTCACTCCGCGCAAAGGGGATTATCGCAACAAGTTTGTGTTAAATTGGTCAAACGTCATCGAAGCAGTTCGTTACACAGAGTACTCATGACTGTTTCTGGAAGTGAAAGGACAGAAAAAAAATAAGTCATTCGCAGCTGCCATCTGTGCGCAAGGAAGTAAGCACAAGATGCGAAACACCCCTAGCAGGCTGCAGCGCACCCTCCATGCGACTCGCAGAATACCTCACGGCGCTTCGCGCTTGGTGATGTGATAGCCTGATCCGGTGAGAACCCGGGGTGCTCCGTCCCGGCGTTGTATTGTAGGGATGCGAGGTCAATGGTCTAACGACTATTTACGGCATGCACGGCCATGAGTACACCCCCCTTCTCCCAATGAGGGGCGACGTAATGTGTGTGTGGCTAGACCAACAGGCATTCAAATCGCCTGGGGCGACGAGCAAGATGTGTGACGGAAGAGCGAGCTGTGTTGAATTTCACGGTCCTACACACTCACGTACGTACGCGCTGATTCGCGTTCATTTTGTGTGCCTGAAGCGTTCGAAAGTCGGACCCACGTCGTAACTCACCGATCTCGATGAAATGATCCTTTGGAAATCGCGGAACGCTAAATCGGTAGGTGTATCGCAAGGGCTATAATCTGAGCTACTACAGCAGTGCGTAACATTGTACACGGGGGACATCTGTGGACGGTTGCTATAGAGATCGTGCTGGAGATAAAGACTGTTGGAAAACCAAGACATGCAGGTATTTCCTGGATTTTCAAGAGTAAACCTGCCAACTCCACCACGCCCTTAATTATAATGAAACGCAGCAACTATTATATGATTAACCGAACAATCAAGAACAATTCGTAAAATAACCAAGATCCCAGCAACGTTGTTCAACGAGAGATGGGGCCATTTTGAACAGCGGGTGTCAAGAAACAAGACCGGCAACACTATATATAATACATTGTCGTGGACGTGCCAACATTTGTGGACCATCACTTCTCAAACATAAAAAGGAAAGCGTATACATGGGTAAAGGTGCGTGTCTGTTTTACCGGTACAGGGCTGGCAGCACATGAGACTGATGCCAAATACGAGCTCAGGTCATGAAACCGGAGAATAGTGGTGACGGCATGAAACCGGAGAATATTTTATATAGTGGGGACGGACGTTGTTGTCTTCACATTAAACTCGTGTCAGTTGCCAATCCCAAAATCTAGCAAAGACGCGGTCCGTGGTCACAAAAAAGCTATACAAGAGCCATCAGAAGTTCTAAAGAACACACAAAGTGACGGATGGAAGCGTGTTACAAGTAGTATCTGTAAATCGTCACACGCACAGGGGAAGAGGCCCCCTACACTCACGCTCTCCCCCCCTCCAGACCGATGATGACATGATGGACATGGACGGACAGACGTGAGTTCGAGGCGGTTGTGGCGGGGACATCTTTTTTTTTTTTTTCTTAATATGACACAACGAAACCATCTCTATCATTGTTGTTGTTGTTGTTTTTCTTCACATTAAACTCATCATAGAAAAGTCTGAGACAGATTAGCAATTGATTCATAGCTTTAAAATCGGATTGATTTTGATTTGTGGAGAGCGAAGGGATCATCATCAACGCATAGATACGGATATGAGAGAGGACACAGAATGCCGGGGCTGTGACATCAATCAACAGCTCTTGCACAGAAGTCAGCCCCTCCTTTGCGTATGTACAAGAGAGGACTATGTTCCGGCATGCTGTGTTAACAGCAGCAAGGAAGCAACCTTCGGCCCAGCTGCAACACACCTCAGAAGCCAGCAAGATCAAGTCCAGGATATCTATTATATACTATAGCCTTGAACCCTACACTGTTTCGGCACTGTTTGCTGTTCGGTAATAAAAAGAACTGGAACGCGCTGGCCTTTTGGAGGTGCAGGAGCAGGCAGGGCAGCGTCTCCTCTCCTACCCCCCTCCCTCCCAGGGGCTTTGGGTCTGACATCAAGACAATATTCCCTTCTTCACAACGAACACACAGCAGTTTCTACATACAATATATTCGATATTTTCATAGTTTCAAGCGCGTGCTGTTGCCGTGTGCAAGGTAGCCCGTAAGTCAGGGCGTTCGTTGGGGTAATAACTGCAACGTTGAGCTCCGCCCCCAAGCGCGGAACGATGGTCTGCCTCCATCACGTTCACGGTTGGAGAAAAAGTTGAGCCGCTGCCGTCGCTCTCGTACGGGTGTTTTTATTATTAATACAATGTAGGGTGTCACACCCACCGCCCGGACCCGCCGCGGGAGGCGGATGTTGGCGTCTAGGCTCTCCAAGACCGCCGTGATTTTTATCCGCGGCCGCGCGATGTTGATGTTCTTGTAAATGCGTCCAACACCAGCGTGCAGCAGGAGAGATATGTCAGCCAGCCACGGTTACTTTCTGGCTGGTGTGGTGGGTGGGGCCGTGTGGAACAAATCAATCCCAAGCGCGTGGAGACAGACCAAAACGGTGTGGTTGTACACAGCCGGGAAATATGGCGCACATATGTAGGCGCTTGGCTACATACATACGACACACACAGAGGGCGTGTGTGTGTCTTTGAGGCTACAAAAATCAAGCTTTGTGTTCGCATTGTTCCCTTCACTGCCTGCTGCGGCTGGCTGGCTTTTGGTGCTCTCGGGTGCTTGACAGGCGGGACAGGTCGCGTCGCTAGGTCGCGTCGCCAGTGAGACTCCACAGCTGTAGTTCAACAACATCTACCTGCTGGCCCAGACGGCGCAAAAAGTAGAACACAAGCCTCTATCCGCACGCACCAGATGCTCTCTGCCGCGGGCCGGCGGGGCCGAAATCCAGTCATCGGGGCATCTTCCGGCCCAAAGGAAAGGCTTCCTCCGGGCAAGGTCGTACCTCTGTTGCCAACATGGATAGCGTGGTGCTGCTCACCTCGCTGCTGACGCCCTTGCCGACCACTTCCCCCATGAGGTATCTCCCAACCATGATCCCTTGCACTCCGGGACGACGCCTGCTGGTTTCGCCCATCTTTCGCTGTCTTTTTTTGTGCCGCGCCGATGCTTTGAGCCTTCTCGCTGCTCGCTCGCTCTCTCTCTCTCTGCCCCTCGCCTTCCCACCGGGCAGCAACTCACCCCTCTCTCTCAGCCGCTGCTGTCCTGCTCTACCTGTTGTGTCGCTCCCCAATCCACATTCAAGAACAGCAGCAGCAGCAGCAGACCTCAGAGAAGAGGGTGAGGTATAAAGCCGATGAGCCGATGGCTGCAGGTGTGACTTCGATTTCAAGTTTTCCCGCATACGCGCATGCCGTGCGCGTTTTTTTTTTTTTTCAAGATCTTAGCCGCCGACTCTGTGGCGCTCGCTGCTATGCGTATGTGCATACATACGCTGCTGTTGTTCGTGCAGGACATGATGCAAGCACATAATATGTTTTCCCAACTACGCATCCAACACTCACCCCAGGCGAAACTCAGGGGAAAACGATGAAGGCCTTAGAGTGGACGGAGTATCAGCGACGGTGGTCGGAACAAAGCGAGTCCATCAATGAGAGTAATATACTAAAAGGTGAACTTGGAACCTCACAGGAAACGGATTTTTCTGTGGACTTTTCTGCTGGCGAAACCCATGGACCATCCAAAAACTTCCTGTTGACACGTTGACACTGCCGAGCGTTGTCTCCTATCGCAGTAGTGCCAGGCGACCTAAGGGGACACAGCAGAAAATATCTCCCTCCACAAGAACATATGCGTCCGTGCCTGCGATGAATATGGCCGTGGGGCGTTCCTCGCACCCTCCCATAACGGAATCAACAACAGCTGTTGTTATTCGTCTTCCCGTGATAACTTAGAATAGGGTACTACTGCTGTGTAGAGCAGCTGTAGAGCTCCCGCTGTGGCCATGCATAATATGCGCATCCAAAGAGAACGGCAGACAAGGTGCCATTGGAGATACCACAGGTGATGTGCGATGTAACATCGACCGATTGCGTTGATATGTATGATGGGAAAACGACCAAAACTGCGTGCGAATGGTTCGGTTCGACCTCGACCGTTGATGTCGCACCCCACGCACCGCCCATGGGGAAAGAAATTGACATGTTGGATAGATAGGCTCTGACTATCTGAACAAAAGCACGACACACTGCTGTATACCGCTGCTGGGCTTACACAAATCGAACACACTTTCATTGTAGCGAAACTTGAAACCTACAGTGGCAAACATCAGAGAGCACAGGGGCCATGACACTCTCTCATTCTTCCCAACATGTCTAGCTGGCGACTCCACTGGTGTCACGAAGATGTCATAATACATGACGGTGTAGCAACAGGTAGATTGTAGATGCCACACGAGAACGTATTGGCAAGGTTCCGAAGCAGGGGAAAACAACGAAATACAGCAGTGTGTTTGTTGTGTTGGTGGTGCGTTCAACGAACGGTGTTTCATTTGTTTGGTGGCAATTCCTAAAAAAAACTACGATAAATAAGTGGCGTCGCCCCTTGGCATTTTTTAAGTATTTCGATCCAACGCATACACAATAATGTGGACCAGATATCGAGAGTTCCCCGAGAAACTCGTCACAGCCAGTAGATTCATTAGTACGATCCCCGGAACGATAGCATGATCTGCACATACATGGGCGATCCCAACACAAACCCACTGCACCAAGAGATTCCTTGACTGTAAGGCGTTAATTTCGTCTTCCCCATATGGTGCGCAAACAAATCAGCTGAGAAAAAAGCTGTACAGACTGAGGTCACAGAAAGGGGGGCATCTCAACCAAGGATTTGAGTAGCCAATAATACGAAGGAACCAACACAAAAACCAAACCCTGGCCTGCGACCGACCTCGCTTGTTTCAGACACGAACCCGGCGTGCGGGTGAGCGGCGCCAGACCGTCGCTGATAATGCCCCCTCTCTGCTGAACATCGGGCGCACAGAAGGAAAACGGTTGTCTGCAAGGCAAATGACACGTATGCGCGATAGACACTCTGCTTGTTGTTTGTTTGTCGCTCCCTCAGTCTCAGCGCACGCACAGCATCATGTCGTCTGAGATTCCGCCATAGACATGACCAGGGAGACAAAAACCTGAACTAAATACATCCATCCCATACTATAGGGGTAGTGGGTGTGCTACTTTTTAGTTCCCCTCCACCCTCTACCCCGCAACCGGGTGCGAGGTGAGACGCAATGCCGAGGTTCGAACGCGCGGCTAGTTGCCCCGCTCCGCCCCCCCCCCCATTAAAAAAAACGCAGAAGTAAAGTGCAGTTCCGACGCAACAAGGCTTTTGATTGAACAAAGGGTGAACGGGGAAACGCACTGCCAAATATGGCGTCATCGTCGGAGAGCCGAATATTAACGTATTGGCAGCACTAACGTTGCTCCAAGGAGCATGCAGGCATATAGTTGGAGTGGAGGACTGCCTCTACCCCCCACCCACCCACCCCGCTACTCAATTCATCTGGTGCAGCTCGCCGGCGGGCAACCCAACTCCATCACCCTTGCATGGGCTTCAACACAACAGCGCGGCCGGGAGGTGCTCATTGCCGTGCATGCCGTAGTTGTTAGACGATTGACCTCTCATCCCTGCAAAGCCGGGACGGAGCAGGCCGGGTTCTCACCGGCCGACCAGGCTCTCACATCGCCAAGAGCGAAGCGCCGTGAGGCATTCGGCGAGTCGCGTGGAGGATGCGCAGCATCCTGCTAAGGGCATTCGGCATCTCGTACTTACTTCCTTGGAGAAGGGCGCCTCAAAATCAGCATGCACCAGGCAGGCTACCGCTGCCCCACCGTTCCGCCCTGCCCCGCCCCCGGCACCCGCCGGAGGCCGTCGGCGAGCTTCAACTCTCGCTCATACTTGGCGCGTTTCGACTGCAGCCGCACCCTGAGCTTGGCCAGCTTGTTGCGCTGCTTGGCGAGGTTCGCCTCCCTCGTCTTGCCGTATTCCTCATTCTGGAGCTTGAGCTCGTCGCGGACATTGTCCTGGTACTGCAGTTCGTCCTCGTAGGGGTAGCGGAGGTTCAAGCGGCCGCGCCACGGGTTGGTACCCCCGGTGGAACTGGATTTTTACAGGGGGGGGGGGGGGGGGGCACATGTGCGCAGCAATGGAAACGAGGGGCCGCTTCAGATGACCCACACAGAAACCGTTTCGCCCAAAGACGTTTACTACATTCCATCAGCCCGCACACTGGAGGCTGTTTGGCTTGGGGAGTGGACTCCATCCAGTATGCGAAGCTCAGGGCGACGGTAATACTAGGGACTGCTGTGACTCATACCCACCACGCGACGGCCCATGCGGACCGCAACTTGAGCGACACGACAACAAACCAGCGAACCGCCACCGGATTCTGAACGGACTTGCACCCCACCCACCCCCACCTGAGGCGCGATACCTCGGAAGAGAGGCGCCTACTACTATGCTGAATGCTCTGGTGGCAAGTATACCACGCGATGCTCATAAAAAACACTAAGAAATCGCGTCCACACGGCACACAAGGAACAGCAGCAACAGGGACGAGTCACATTTGTTGAGGGCCGTTTGCCCTACCGCTCGACGCCAACAAACACGCGCGAAGCCCTCATTTCGCAGAAACACGTCCGCCAACACCACAAAAAACGTCCATTGCTGCTCCAATATCTACTGGCGCTCCTCTACCCCCCTTGCTTCTAGCACACGTCACCGCGAAACGTGCTCGGCGTAACGCCTACCAGGTCGGGTAAAGAACCCAACAAACCTCGTCTCGTCCGTGTACCGAAAGAGGGGGACTGATGGCACTTGCCCCACACCAATAATCTACCTTAGACTATCTAGATAGAGATTCATTCGTTGGGTCATATTAAGAAAAAAAAAAGGGGGGGGGGAACGATTTCTCCACCACCAAGATGGCATCCCGACATGACCGACTTTCAGAAACTTCGAGTCCTCCTGGTGCGGAAAAAGAGCCCGATAAATCGGCGGAGAGCCCTCGACGAGATGTTTCCAAAGGCACCGCTTGTAGGGTGGGTACAGTTTTGGTTGAGGAGTAATTGGGAGCTTGAAGATCGCTCTAGAGGGCGTTCCACCTCTTAGCCTCTTACGGTAAGAACGTAGCAGGGAAACAAAGTGCCGATGGTCCACAGACTGCGACTGCGCACAACGATTCTGCACACACACACACACACACACACACCAACGCCCCGTGAAAACGCTCCCTTCTCCCCCCCTACCCCTCAAGCAAAGGCACACGGCAAGGGGAGTGTGCGATTCGAAACCACCAGTTCGGCTAGCTTCGCCGACTTCGTTCGTGCCTCCCGCCAGCAAGTGTTGGCGCCGTGGCAGCATTACACACACACACACCGCGCCTTCACCACAACCTACAGGTGGCACCGCGCCCTTCTCCCCCTAAAGAAGGCACACGGCTACGGGAATGCGCGATTCGACATCACCTGTTCGACTAGCTTCACCGACTTCGCGCCCCCTGCCAGCATATGGTCGCGTCGTGGCAGCATTATGGCCGGGGATCGAACGTGAAACCTGGAACGCACCGGCAGTCGTCCAGATCCCCTGGGGCGGCGTTTTTTTCTCACCGGCGGCTTGGGCACGGGACTGTCAAACGTTTACACGAGGGGGGGACGTACTCATTTGTTGCTTGCCGTAGTCATTTGACCATTGACCACGCGTCCCTTTCGAGACGGAGCACCGTTCCTACACCTACTAGAGACACCACCAACATTTGGGAGCTCTTTACGTTTCTGCCACAAACTCCATAAAAATTTCTTGCACATCTTATCCCCGTCCTCTAGGGCCTCTTGTGCCCACCATCTATCCCCAATTATCGCGATCGTTTTTTCGCTGTTGTTTAATTTACCAAGCTTGTCCATGTCACACCCTCTCTGTCTCATTTCCTCCTCGAGATCCTCTCTTTCCTTCTTGTACAACTCACACTCCCCAACTATGTGGGGTCTACTCTCCTCCGATTTGCCACATGGACATGTGTGTCTATCCTCCTCTTCCTCTCTCCTACGGCTGGTATACCTCTTCCTCCGTTCTGGCAAGTCCAGATCGCCTACTCGAAATTGCATTGTCCATGGGTCCTGCAATTTCAGCTTTTAGCCGTCCAAGTACGTCTTCATCCCTATC